TTTCGTAATTTTTTTGGAGGGGGTCTATAAGTTATGATTTATTGGTTAAAAGTTCGTGTTTTTAGCTTATAAGTTAGACTTCGCAGCTTCTCAGCCTAAGGGGGACTTCTCACATGATCTTCTCTCTCTCTCTCTCTCTCTCTCTCTCTATATATATATATATATATATATATATATATATATATATATATATATATATATATATATATATATAGGGTACGGTTCCGGTGAGAAAGGAATCCCAGGAGAGGAAAAAAGAATGAAATTTGACCATGGATTTATTTGATCGGATGGCTATAGTTGGAGTGGAATTAAAACTTCCATCCACTTATTATGGCAAAGTGGAGGAACTTTAAAAGGTAATGTTTCATTTTAATAAATACATAGGGTTTAAAGGGTAATATTACAAGAGATTTGTTACACGCATGCAGCTTATTATTTTCTCCCTGGTGGTAGTTTCCATATTGATTAAGATATCAATGTTGGAGAACAAGTCAAGTGCATTAATTACTGATATGGTGAAAATAATACATATGTGTACTAAAGTGCAATGCTTTGAGTACTAAAGTGCATGGCATATCATACATATGTGTAGACCTAATAGATAAGCGGTTGAAAATAGGTATAATGCATTATATGCATTGAAAAGTGATAATATTATTAAATAATGTGCATGCCGCTGTAATTTTATACCATATGCATTTGGTTTAGTAGATATGTGCACATTAGATTAATATGCCGATGGAGCTTAATTGTTTACATACTTAAATGCACTTTTATATGTTTGCTACAATAGTCAATATATTATGCACTTTCATAAATTATGTATTGCAAAAGTGTGTCATGCACCTTATACATACTATTATGCACTATATGTTAAATTAGGCATGTCTAAATTTACAAGTTGGTATATATTAACAATTTGATGTTCTTTAATATTCTAAAAAATATTCACATAAAAATGATATTTATTTCAATAGTATTTGTTTTTAAAGTACATAAATATCAAAAGTGCATAATTTGAAATTTTGAACAATAAATTATGATGTTAATCAAATTCATACGTGTCCCTATGGATCCTATTAAAATTTGAAATTAATAGCTACACGTAAAAAAATAAAGAATGAAACTATGACAATAGAAACAAATAATAAACAAACAAATAAATCAACAGGACGCATTGTATTTATGTACTGCACATGGCAATTGTAAAAAACGATCAAAGTAGTGGAGCTAGTGGAGTTACTACATTTTCGGAACTTAATTTAATGGTAATTAATGTATATATGAAATGACAAAATACCCATTACACATGTACACGAGTGTTTGAAAAAACGTATAAATCTAACGGTTATATCTATTCTTTTTTACTCTCCTAAGATTAAATTCTCACATGAACCTAAATCTATATATATATATATATATATATATATATATATATATATATATAGAGAGAGAGAGAGAGAGAGAGAGAGAGAGAGAGTGCTGTTCCGGTCAGGAATTTCCTGACCGGAGCCCCGTACGGCCTCCTCCATTTGGGGGCCTTCCCGGTGGTATTTTTTTCTCAAATGTTTTGTGTAGGTTCCTCATCAAGTCTAGTTCATCCATACCAAATTTCAGCCAAAAATTCAATCGGGAAGGTCGTCAAATGATATTTGCAAGTTAACTAGTCCGGAAAATGCATATTCCGGACCAGTTAACTTGCAAAAATTATTTGACGACCTTCCCGATTGAATGTTTGGCTGAAATTTGGTATGGATGAACTAGACTTGATGAGTAACATACACCAAATATTTGAGCAAAAAATACCACCGGGAAGTCCCCCAAATGGAGGAGGTCGGACGGGGAGAGTGGTCCGGCCTGGCCGGACCTGAATACTCATCTCTCTCTCTCTCTCTCTCTCTCTCTCTATATATATATATATATATATATATATATATATATATATATATATATATTGGTTCAGGTGAGAAATGCATCTAATGTGAGAAATGAGAATGAATCTCAGCCATTGGATTTACGAAGTTGCACTAAAATTGGCTTTATGTTGCAGTAATATTTAACTTTTGCACATGTTTCACTAAAACTGTTTCATGTTGCACTAATATTTGACGGCGTTGCACTGAAATAGCTTCATGTTGCACTAGACACGTGTAATACGGATTTTTCAGAAGTATTTGCAGAAATGCCATCGTGCTAGATTGCATATTTCAGTGCATCATGAAGTGTCTTTTACTGCAACTTTGTCGAATCCAATGGCTGAGATTCATTCTCATTTCTCACCCAAAGGGTTCTTCTCACTTGAACCTTACCCTATATGTGTGTGTATATATATATATATATATATATATATATATATATATATATATATATATATATATAGAGAGAGAGAGAGAGAGAGAGAGAGAGAGAGAGAGAGAGAGAGAGTACTCTTCTCGTCAGGCCGGCCTGACGGGAACCTCCGTCCGGCCGAGCCCGTTTGGGCACCTTCACGGTGAAATTTTTTGATGAACTTTTTTGAGCATGTTCCCCATCAAGTCTAGTTTGTCCATACCAAATTTCAGCTCAAACTTCGATCGGGAAGGCATTCAAATAATTTTTTGAAGTTGACTGCGTCAAAGTATACATATAAAACTGCAGTCAACTTCAAAAAATAATTTGAATGCTTTCCCGGTCGAAGTTTGAGCTGAAATTTGGTATGGACAAACTAGACTTGGTGAGGAACATGCTCAACAAATTTCATCAACAAATTCCACCGGGAAGGTGCCCAAACGGGCTCGGCCGGACGGAGCAACCCGTCAGGCCGGCCTATATATATATATATATATATATAGAGAGAGAGAGAGAGAGAGAGAGGACTGCTCAGGTCCAGCTGGAGGGACGAGAGCAGCCGTCCGAACTTCACCGTTTGGGGCGGTTCCCGGTGGAATTTTTCGATGAAAATTTTTGAGCATGTTCTTCATGCTCAAAATTTCAGCTCAAAATTCGACCGAGAAGGCAGTCAAATAAATTCTTGAAACTTACTGCACTCTATATATGCGCAGAATGTGCAGTAAGCTTCAAGAATTTATTTGACTGCCTTCCCGGTCGAATTTTGAGTTGAAATTTGGTATGGACAAACTAGACTTGATGAGGAACATGCTCAAAAAATTTCATCGAAAAATTCCACCGGGAACCGCCCCAAACAGTGAAGTTCGGACGACTGCTCCCGTCCCTCCGGAGGGACCTGAGCATTTCTGTATGTATACACACACACACATAGAGGGCAGTTCACATCAGGAGCTCCTGAAGAGAAGCCCCGTTCGGACAAGCCCATCAGAGGGTCTTCCCGGTGGAATTTTTTGATGAAATGTTTTGAGCATGTTCTTCATCAAGTCTAGTTTATCCTTACCAAATTTCAGCTCAAAATTCGATCGGGAAGGCAGTCAAATAAATCCTGGAAAACTATGGCTCATTCTGCGCACATATAAAGTGCAGTATGTTTCCAGGATTTATTTGACTGCCTTCCCGATTGAATTTTGAGCTGAAATTTGGTATGGACAAACTAGACTTGATGAGGAACATGCTTAAAAAATTTCATCAAAAATTTCCACCGGGAAGACCCTCTGATGGGCTTGTCCGCACGGGGCTTCTCTTCAGGAGCTCCTGATAGGAACGGGACTCTCTCTCTCTCTCTCTCTCTCTTAATTTACAAAGTACAAACTCATCTTGACCGTCCGATGAGTTGATCCAAAGGACATAAAGGCAAGGTGGCATTTTTGTAATAAAACCCAACTTTTTAGGGTGCAACTCGTTGCACCTTAATGTGCAACTGTTATTTTTATGACTTTATAATGTGCAATACTTTGAACCTCAATATGCAATGCAAATAACGTCAAGGTGCATCGTACAAATATTTGCACAATAAGCACACTTTGTACTTGATCTTTCCCATATATATATATATATATATATATATATTGAGTGCCTTCCGATTGAATTTTTAGCTAAAATTTGGTATGCATAAACTAGACTTCATGAAGAACATGATCAAAAAATTTCATCAAAAATTCCTCCGGGAAGTTCCCTAAATGCCCTCGGCCGGACAGAGCACCCCGTCAGGCCGGCGTGACATGAAGACTACTCTATATATATAGGAGAGAAATGAGAATTAGGTTGAAGTGAGAAAAATATTTTTACAAAAAAATAATTTTTTGCAAAAAAAAAAGATTTTTGGACAAAAAATTATTATTTAAAAAAATTGTAGCCTTAATATTAAAAACAAAACATATTCACTATTTACATAAAATAATTGAGAAAGGGTGAAATCAATGTTTTATATCTTATACGAGTAATCTCTATTAGACAAGTTACATTTCGATTTCCATACAGTTACAGTTCATATCAACGTGAGTTACATCACCCTCCTACTAGACAAAAAGGTACTGTTCATGCGTGTTACTGTTCATGCATGTCTTTGCTGTGGGAGTACCAACTGTTAAAGAAACCCGGATCGGATCTCGTCATGCGTCACAAATTTCATTGAAAATATACTTGTGATCCTGGTGATGAGGAGGATGAGCTATAGAAACTAAGACCTTCTCTAAGCAATGAAGAGCCGCTAGCACAACTCTCGATGATATCACCATATGACCCCCTACTCCATACCCTCAAAGGTTAATTAAAGATACTTAAAAAGAAAACTTCAGATTTTTTTGAAGTATTTCAAGAAAATTTCTGTAAATAACTCATTTGTCGATGTCATTGTGAAAATTCCTCCGTATAATGTTTTTTTAAGGAATTCATATAAGAGAAGAAAAGATTTGAAAAGGTAGCTTCTACCAACCTTAATGAAGATATTAGCTCAACAATTCAGAAGGATCTAAGTTCTAAACACAAAGACGGTGGGAGATATTATCTTGCTCAATTGGGGAATTTTCTTCTACAATTATTTTATGTGATATAGGGGCAAGGTTAAATCATATGTCAGTGTCTCTATTCAATAAACTTGGAATAGGGAAGAAAAAACTTCAACGCATGGTCATGGTACTACAATTGGCGGACCAATTACTCAAGAAACCTCTAGACATCATCAATGATGTTTTGGTAAAAGTCGGAAGATTTATCTTCCCCGCCGACTTTGTAGGACTAGACATGAAAGAAGGGCCAACCTCCATCATTCTCGGAAGACCATTCTTAGCCGCCGGAGGAGCACAAATCGATGTCAAAGGAGGTAAAATCATTTTCCGTCTTGATAAAGAAACACATGAATTCTCTATGAGAGAATGCATTGATGGGGATGAAGGGGGACAAACAAAAAATGAGGATGCATATGAGGACGTACTCGAGATCACACCGGTGGACAACAAAGAAAAGAGGCACAATGATCAGATTCTACCCAAGAAAAGCACCTCATCCACCGCCTTAAAAGAGGTTCGTTCGTCCGGCCTATGACTTTGTAGGACTAGACATGAAAGAAGGGCCAACCTCCATCATTCTCGGAAGACCATTCTTAGCCGCCGGAGGAGCACAAATCGATGTCAAAGGAGGTAAAATCATTTTCCGTCTTGATAAAGAAACACATGAATTCTCTATGAGAGAATGCATTGATGGGGATGAAGGGGGACAAACAAAAAATGAGGATGCATATGAGGACGTACTCGAGATCACACCGGTGGACAACAAAGAAAAGAGGCACAATGATCAGATTCTACCCAAGAAAAGCACCTCATCCACCGCCTTAAAAGAGGTTCGTTCGTCCGGCCTATGACGTTAAACTAAGCGCTAATTGGGAGACAATCCAACAAAATAAAGAATAAAAACAGAAAAAGAAAAGAAAAGAAAAGAAAAGAAAAAATCACCATCTCAACTTAGGTATCATGCAATTCCTACTCTGAAAGATGTCTCATTCCGCTATTGAATATTTCATCCTTCATTGCATCTTCCAATCTACATTGCGGATAATATAAATCAAGTGTGGGGGGGAAATAATAGTTGATAAATTTTTTCTTTGATTTTTTTTTTCTAGGAAGGTTATACATTTTGATTAGAAAGATTTGGCTGAGAAAGATTTCTTTTACTCACAAAGTTTGGGGTATTTAAATTACATATGCAAGTTTGGGGTGTTTATCTCACATCCCATCAAACTTTGGGGTATTTTTATTATTTTTCCCTTTGCACAGAGTGCAAATTCGAAACAAAAGTTCCATCCCAAATACAAATCATTCTATGTTGTCACTTTATCCTCATTTTGACAACCCAAATATACAATTATGGAGAACCAATAAATGAGTTAAAAAAAACGAAAGAAAAATTATGTTCTACTAGAATACCCTTCTCTACAAAATCAAGTTGACGACCAACAAAAAGTTACCGACATATCTCATATATTGCCTAAATTGTCACAAAATAAACCGATCAAGAGTTGCAATATTTTTCTTAACCTTAAATATACTTATCGTGAATAATTGAAAAAGGTTTTTGGCCCGATAAGGATTAAAGTTTTTATATCTAATTTTTATCATCTTATTGAAAACTAAATTTGCATGTTTTGGTTTCTTCTCTAATTGTGCATCTTTACAAAGAATCGCTTGAGGACAAGCAACACTCAAGTGAAAGGATTTGATAGCCGTTATATTTACTATTTACTTATGTTTACATAAGTATTTATAAGTATTTTTTGAAGAAAAGGAGAGAAATTGGGAAAATACCTTCAAAATGAGAGCTAGAGCATAAAACATTGCGATGAACAACTTTTTGGACCAGAAAAATGACGTTGTTCTCATGCTTGAGATATAATTTATATATTGTAGCGAATTCCAAATGACTAAATTCAAATTTCATGTGAATTATAATTCAATAAGCTACAAATATTGTGAATACGTCATGACCATAATATGAAAGGATCAAGACCTAATCATCATCAACTAATAAATCAGATTTTGTTGGTGGGATTTCAGGATGCATACCTCTCACTGTTTTATACATAACTTATGATTGGATGATTCGAATTACTTAATTCAAATTTTGATGGATATAAGACTTCATTATCTACAACGTTGGTGAATGAATCATGTCCAAATAAGTAACGAAAATAAAGATATTGTATCAGGCGCTGGTTAGTCTACAACTGGCGCCGGTCGGATGTTGAATTTGCAAAATACGCCACTGTAATGGACCGGGCCGGTCATTTGATGTAACCGGTGCCATTCGGACCAGTTTCCTGTGAAGAAAGACCACAATAGGAGCCGTTCACATGCCCAACCGGCACCGGTCATCGTGATTTCTTTACAAAACAGCAGAATATGCTGAAACATTGTGAAGAGATGTGAAGATTTAGAGGTTGAGAGCTAAGAAATTTTCTTTAATCTGATTTTTGATCGTGAATAGGCTATAAGATGTCAATCTTTAGCTTATATAAACCCCCATTTCCATCCCTTAATCATCACTCATCCCATAGCTTTAATTCATAGCTTTTATATTCTGTTCATGCTATTTTTCTTCAAGTTCTTGAGGGAAGATTATCCTCCAAAATCATTTGTGTCTAGGTATTATTTCCTTTGCAATTTTAGATTCATTCACATTTAATTTTTGTATTGTGATTGATGAGCATTAGAGACTTATTCATTAGCTAAGGCTTGGGGCGAACCTCTATGCTCACTAGATGTTTGATAAGAGTTTTGAACCACTAAATTGTGATTTATCCTTTACACTTTGATTGTTTATGACTATGGTGTACAACATAGAAGTATGTTAAACTTAGTTTGTGCTTGAAACTAACGTTGAGGTCTTAACTATGAACACTAAAGGATAAACATATATAGTACCAAGAATAGAAATATATCCGGTCTTATATGATACAAGTGTGCTATCTTAATTGATATTCAACAGAGGTTTTAATAGATGAATGTAAGTCTTAACAAGACTTACACGTAATGAAAACAATGATCTCGCTATCTTAACTGGAGTTGGGAATATATTAGCGACATTGTATTCATAATTATTGGGAAAGAAGTATTACGAAACCCTATTAAAGCATTTAAGTGAATCTTGATTGCCTTAGTAATCTTTATTCTTGTTTAAACCAATACCAATAACCAAATCCCTGCAATTCAATATCAAATATATACTTTGTATATGAATCTCGAACTTTATAATATCAACAATTTCCCTGTAGATTGACCCGGTATTTACCTGTATTTTATTACTACATCGACACTTGTATACTTACAAGTTTAGCCCGATCAAATATAAATATAAACGTAAACGTAAATATAAATATAAGTATAAATATGAAAAGGGTTAGGCTCCCGGGTTTGGGCTCCCCGGGAGGAGGAAATATGGGTTGGGCTCCCAAGTTTGGGCCTAAGAGGCCTAATTACAATGATGAGTCACTAAGTGGCTGTTATACGAAGTAAGCTATGCAAATAAGTATACAATGTAAATGATATCTGGTACATGTTCATGCCGAGGTGACAAGGCCCAGGTTTCCTGGACGAGGTGACTGTTCTTGAGCGAAGCTGTTGGGTTCATATCCTGATCTCACCGTTTATGGAAACCCAGTGTAGTTGGGCTCATTTGGCCTAGGGGGGCAACCAAGGTGGGTAATCTAGTAGCCGCAAGGACATTAGTGTATCCATGAGTATGCGGGCCGTGGATTCGGGCTCATAATCTCTATCAGGAGTCCCCCACACTCTGAGTCGAGAGGTGTCGAGGTGAGAGGGAGTAGAGCATCTGTGACTTGTGGCTTTGTGATTATCAGGTTTTGTGTGTTTTGCTGAGGCGTGAATGCTTCTAGACAATGTGCCTTGTTAGTTGCAGCTTGCGATTTTGTGTTTTGGCCGAGGCATAGTCCTTCAGTCCCCAACTCCTTCAGACTGAGAGATGCTTTCAGGTTGAGGAGTAGATAACCTAGTCAGAGCCGAGGTGGCACATGCGAATTGGCCGGGGATCCAATCTCTTTGACGAACCTCGATTAAGGAAACTCCGTGGGAGAATCCTTGGACGAAGGCGCTGACCAGAAACCCTCACCGACGGTCGCGACTCGAGGTGTGCACTTGTACATTTTTTATACATGTGGATAAGGCTGAGGCGTAACCTTTTTGGAGCCGAGATGTGGCTGTATGAGGGTGTGTTGTTCACTACATAGTGACCTGTGACTGGGTCGCCTGTAGTCTATTGCGGTTTTATCCCGAGAAGTGTGCCTAGCCGAAGCAGTGTACGCTGTTTGCCTGGCCGAAGCGGTGCAGGTTGATTGCAAACTGTCGTGTTTCTTTTGGCATAGGACAAATGTCAACTCGTGATTGGTTGGTTCGGTGGTGGCCGCTTGGAGGTAAAAGTCATGTTAGTATTTTTTGTAATATTTTTTAAAACTGGCCCTCTTTCACGATTTTATCCATAACTTCTCTTTTAATATTATGTATATTCAAAACCAAATTTTAATGTGAAAACTAGTAAATGAGCTCTGAAAGATGAACAATCATTGTTTATTTCGCAACTTCTGCTAATTATATAATATTTCAAAAACTTCATAGCATGTATGACTCTTCAGTATTATCCCCAAATTCAGTGGCGGGTTCAAAGTGGGGCAAGTGCCCCCTTCCCCCCAAATTATCTTTTCACTAGGTATAATTACTCCAAAATTGTAATATACGTAGTATGTAATAATATGTATTTTTCTACACTACTGCCCCTCTTATGGGGTTTTCCTGTGTCGGCTGCTGCCCACATTGTTTGCACAATCTGCCCATACGTTAATCTCGTTTTGTATTATGAATTGGCAACGAAGTGCTTTGTCCATCTTACATTTGGCGTTTTATATTGTCTCCAATTATTTCCAACTTCAACCCTTCTCACATAAATTAAGTAATCTCCATTAGCTTCTTTCATAGTTTCGTCTTCAATAGAAATGTAATTGGGATGACCATTTGACCAAGTACATAGATTAAGTAATCTCCATTTTACCATTTCATCACAAGCATCCATTTTCTTTGAGCTGACTTTATCACCCGGTACAGTAATAAATAAACGCATCTAGTCCAAACACTAATCAATAAGTGCAAATGAGGTGATGGATTCCAATACACTAGTAAGGTATGATGGGAATGCTGCAACCTCTCACAAATATTCTCTGTCAACGTCATAGACAGACAGTGCACGAATAGTGCGCATGAACAAAGACCCTTCTAGCTAATCCTGAAACATTCCTTCATCTGACAGGCTAGAAGATTCAGTACCATTGACATGAGGTTGGGTGGAAAGATTCTCACTTGAGTCACTTAGTAGGATACTGTAATAGAAGTCATCATCGTCATCACTGTCTCCGTCTTCACCCAATTTGTCGCCCACCTTCTCCACGACACCTTGAGCTTCCCTCTGCATTTGCTGCTTCATGGCATCCTCATACGACATTTCAGACAGAACAGTACCATTTCCGATTATTGATTTATTGTGGGCATTTGTAATCCGCTCCTGCTTACTCTTTTCTGAATTTTTAGGTTCTCCCCAATAGTCATACTGATACAGTGGGCTTTCAGGATCATACTGATCCTTCCGTAAAATGCTAGGATCAACATACCTCCCAGGCTCTTGCAGTGGAAGCCCAAGTGCGTAACGGCTGCAAGGGCATTCACAAATTTGAATTACTAGATGAAAATGAAGATGATTGATTGGGACACCAAATTTAATGAGAGGCAAAATTAAGCCTGTGAACAACCTTGAGATGGGGGGGGGGGGGGGGGGAGGCATACCCATTACTCCATGAGTTGCTTAAAACTATGAATGTGACGATTGTTTTGTCCACAAGGGAGAATCCATAAACTTGATCTCAAGTCTCAACCATGGTTTAAAAGGTCGTTTAAGACGCGGGTTTTGAGGCGCACCTCAAGGTGAGACGTACAAATTGGGTATCAGTTTTTTTTTGCAGGTTAAAAGGTTTACGTCTCAAAAGTTGAGGCGTACGCCTTGAGGCGCGCCTTGAGGCATTTTTTAAGGCGTTTTCATTTGTTTCTCTGTTTTTAATGTGCAGTAACTTAAAAAAAGCCCAAGGCCTTTCATTTAATGAAAGGCCCAGAGTACTTTTTAAATAGAAGTCCATTAATTAAACATGTGCCACACTAAACCCTAACAAGTCTTATTTCACTTAAACCCTAACAAGTATTTTATTCATTTAAACCCTAAATCCTTAACGTATACTTTCTATTTATCTTTAAGTTTGCATGTGATGTTGCTGTGTGTGATATGTCTGTTTGTGTGTTTGAATTCTAATGACTTACTGGTATTGGCTCATACTGTCATACATGTTCGTGTTTCACACTTTTTGGACTTCACACTTACTGGTATTAGCTCATGTTGAAAT